GTGCTTAAATAACGCAACTGGATTTGGGTGACGATGATTTCGATAGGTTGCGATGGATAGTGTTTGATTGCGTTGCGTTTTATTATGACAGATTGCGTTGGGTTACTTTGGATTGTGTTTTGATTGCGTTGGATTGTGATGTTTACTATATAACGCACAATTGGAAAGATTATTTTTTTCATAAAACTGGATTTGGGTGACTTTTTTTTCGATTGTGGCGGATTGCGTTGGATAGTGTTTGATTGCACTGCGTAGGAGTGTGACGGATTGTGTTAGGTTGCGTTGGGTTGTGTTTGATTGTGACGGTATTTGTTTCCCACTTATTCGGAAGTATGAAAATATACAAAAAACATTAGGGAAATCCCTATAAGACGTTGTATTTAAAGTAGTAAAAGTATTCCTGCACATGAAAACCGATTATGATCAATATATGTATTTGTAACGACCTTATGAAAGATTTGAAACCAAAAATACAAAAAAATAACTTCCCAATGTTCAAGAATTGTCAGTTTTTAAGGTAAAAAGTTTCTTTTTGAAAGTTGTTCCTGCAAAATCAAGTCCTCAGAAGTCTATTTAAAATTTGATTTAAATGTAACTTACACTGTGAACAAATCTAATTTTAATTTTATTGTGTCCCTTGCAGGACCTTTGCGGCACTTTCAAATGTAAATGGATTTCAAATTTTATCATTATCGTTTTGAACGAGAAATATACATTAGCCTGAGTTTCCCTGAATGTTTGGTTTTCCAGGCCGATGCCTTTAACTGGGTAAGCAGCTTAAATGCACTACATTCATTAATGGGGAAATCAAATTATGTTTGTTCGGTACACGCTAAGGGGATAACGTAATAATGAAGCCTGATTCGTAGGTACTATTCCCCAGGTAATGAACATACAATAATTCCACAAATAACAACGTTGTATTTATATATCACGAAAAAAACATCACGCTATAAGCTCGGTCAAACACCCTTGAGGCAAAAAACAGAAACATGTAATCAAATGTTGGCCAACAAAAACGTTCATAAATAGCCTCTAAGCCCAATCAGCGTGACTGATAACATTTGTGGTACCACAGCCCGGTAAAACTGTAAATAGCTTGGAAGCAGGATGTCGTAATAAGGAGATTGACGTTTATTTGTTGCGACCCAGCCCTAGGACCGACTGACGAGCCATAAAACTAAATGACCCTATGAGTTACAGGATTATGAATATCATTTTGACCAATCAGAAGATGCACCTGCTGTTACTCCGATTCAAAATGGCGGCGGTGAGTCAGCAGCTTCCCTAGTTTCGTATTCCAAATTTTAACCACGTCTCCATGCGATAAGACCTGCCATGATGGCAAAACCTGTTGAGATTTTCTGCATGGAATGAAACGTCACTCAAAGGCATTCATGTGTTGGAAGACCCCCTTCAGATACCATTGTAATGAGACCGATCCATTTCAACAGCAGACTATATTTTACGCCAAGTGTCTGCAATTGTACTAAATGTCAAGCTGCAAATGTATTCAATGCATGTTAAACGTACTTGATTGGAATTGAAATACGGAGATAATGTAACAAAATCCAATATGTCAAACCAAAGTCTTTTCAGTTGTTCATGAGTATCATATCGAAGTCGAAGAGCTTAAACACCACACGTTTATTACGAGAACAAAGGGTGATACTAACAGCGCATGTTTGACCACCGAACATCTGGTTTTATCACTGTAGAGGGGTTCATGTGTGGAGAATTGTTTTAAATTATCCATTTTTGGACCATGTTCTTTTCTCGTTACCCATACCCATAAACAAAGCAAAGAAAGTATACACTTGGATTTGATCTACAAACGTTTCAAAACATTTATACTTGGCTGAAACAGTCATCGAAACACCGCAGGCTTAAGGCCCTCAACAACTTGATACCCGTATCAAATAAATCCCCATCGAATAACATTTCTGGTTTGTTTCCTTTTGAAGCAACTATCAAATATGGTTGTACACTTCTTTTGCTTTGCACGGCTGTTTATAACCTTGAAGCTTTACCATTGTGATCTAACGAATTGAATGTGTTTGTACTTGAGCATTGCACATATATAATTCAATGAACATTTTGTTCCTTTATAAAATGTTTTTCATCTATTACATACAAAGCAACTGCCTAGGTACAGGGATGGATTGGCTTGGTTTAGATGCTAGATAATAGGGAGCACATCAATACAAACATGGGGGAAGGGTGTTTATTTGCATGATTGCATAATCTTATATACAACCATACATCGTCTTACAAAATACGAACTTAGAATGAGTGAGTGAGTTGGGCGTAACGCCGCTTTGAACAGTATTCCAGTTATATCACGGCGTGGCAGCTTAATGTGGGAGGAAAGCCCGAAGTGATGCAGGTCTCAGACGTTTACCACTTCGGTGAAACCTACAAGCACGGGTATGGTGCCGACAAACCTAGAAATAAAACCGGAGCAAACCGGGATTCGAACCCACGATCATAGTTTTTTGGAGTTACCAAGGGAGAGTGAAATATTTCTACAAAGCGTTACATTGTACATTGTTTTCAAAGGTAATTTAGTCAAACCAAAATGATGAACATGTGTGTGACATTTAACGTCAAAGAAAAAAAGGTCAGAAAATTCTGTTTGATATTTTATCCTGGCTTGTTTAAAAATATGACATCAATATAATGTTGTTTCAGAGACAGATGGATGTCCCTGGCAGAAAAAGAGATAACATTTTGACATTTGTGTTTACACAAAAAAACGTAACCAGCTTTCATATATAAACAAAGGAGTTCGGAGATCAACTGCGTAATATTTGACAGGATAGGATGATACAATGATAAAATGACCTGGTGTTTTTTTCACAGCGATAACATTACAGATCAAGACGTACGTGGATCGATGTGAGGTAGAAGATCCTACCATGTTTTTTAGTCTATAATTGCCTTTCACCCACAAAGGAATCTGTTTCGGCAGAAAATCAAGACTGGTTATTCTCTGGCGTTGACTTTTAATATTTTGGATATCGGAAGAATATGCATGTGCAACTACCTTTTTATCTATATATTTTCGTTATGTTTGATCTGAGTTTTTAAAAACACAATGTCTCTGACATTCTCACGGTATTTCAAACTAAAAAATACAATAATATCTCGACCTCATTTTACTGTTTCGACTTTAATGTGAATCAAATGTTTATCAAAATATATAGTACGTAATTGATTACCTACAGGATGACATAGGTAGAATTAATATGCTTATAGAAAACTCATAGTGGCTGCAAGTACATTATCAATGAACGCAATACATTTATTATGACTGAAATTATTTTCATAACAGAATCAATAAGGGCTCATAAGATAAATATATTTCATAATTGAATTTGTCTATTAATGTCCATCTTACAATATACATGCAGTTTAAAAAACACAAACAACTCTGAAGGACTACTTGATGTTTATACAAGACTGCAACGAAAACACTTTACTTAAAATCTCTTATTTGCAAAATGTGAATTCATTTCTTAGAGTGTCGAAAAATAAATATTTACTCTATTTTGATTCAAGTTTGAGTTACCCAAAGTCCCCTTGTATAAATATTACTTCGCATATTGGACGTACTCCTGAATAGAGTTATTGATTAATTACACGCGAAATATGAGTAATAAAACGAAGTTCGTGTAATCAACACTCCTTTACGTTGTCAATGACCAGATTTACTCATCACCGTCGTAGTAAATTGCTTATTGCAATCAATAACTCGTGTCAAATCGATCTATTTCATTAATGGAGCTCAACTCAAGAGAACCATATTCACGCTGGTAGACACAGCTTGACGGTCTGTGAAAGTAGTATTTCTGTCACTGCAGGCGGATGCCATGTACATAAAATTATATGAATCCTGTATCGGCTTACAAAGCCACTGTTCATGTCTTCAAAACGCACGGAAATATATTTTCTAATAATAGATCTTATGTAATCAATAGCACGAACAAACGTGAACCTAAACCTTCATAAGACTATGTGGATTGAAATGTATTTGTCTAAATAATATAATTATTTTGGTTATTATTATTATTATTACAATTGCAACGATAATTAAAATAGAACCTCCTGTAAAGACGCAACTAAATTTAGATTACACTTATTTTATATTTAATAATATTTGCTTGAATAATGTAATAATTTATGTGATTTGAGTAAATATATTCCGAGATAAAATACCTAAATGTTGGAATGGAAAATAACTGTTTACAGATCAGATTAAGAGATGGGGCTTCTTACAAGCTATAATGTGCCTGATATCACATTAATGTAAGAGACCATGTGTGTCATAATAACAATATTTTATACATTGCACAAATACTCTTTTTGGAGCACTCTCAACATAGAACAACAGAGACACCGAGCTTTGCCACAAAACACACACAGAACATTGACAACGCGCGAAATGAGACTTACATACGTGACTCTACAGCAAAAGGAAATAACAGAAATATAGTGCTTAATGACAAATGGCGACACAATTTTAGCTTACGGGACCACTTGGACAAAAGGCGGCATGTGTTGTTTTCATATGAATATAATATATACACTTTGTTAAAGATGGTTACCTGTAAAATATGCCTGTACGTATACAGGAATCGAAAAATAATTCTATGCATGTGTTGCAGGTGCATTGCAAACAACGTCACAAAACACCACGGCAATAAAAGGCAATTGCATGTAAAAGAGTTCATACATTCGTCCTTGAAACAGTGACCCCAACACCATCATACAGCGCATGAGCGGAAGTGACGTGTAAGAAAGGAAAAGGAAGTGTGAAATATAAAGCATATGTATAGCGATAAGGAAGATGAATTGAAATAGGAAAGAAATACAAAGACCATGCCCCGCCGTCAAATGACAGGAAACATGGAGATATAAACAGATTGTGGCGATGGAGAACCGAGAGGACAAGAACATGAGCTTTGGCAAAACAGACACCAGCTTGGCATTCTACTTACCGAATCTTTTACTGTCATAATTAACTGGAAAAGACAAATATACACGTTCATATCGTAATCAGTGAAAAATTGTAAGCATGAAAGAAGATCTTACACACTGTGGCCTCATTGTTCGAAACAGCTGCAAAAAACACATCTTGTTTCATAATGGTGTACTTGTTTGGCAGTTCTGTGCAGGGTATTAGGTGTGACATATTCAACGGCGTGACTCATATTGGATATATGATAATTGAAATAATTATTGCCCCTCGTTGAGTTCTGAAGTATAATTATCTACTGTATAAGTATACAAGTAGCATATGTATGGATCAAGTTATAAAGAGCCAGAAATAATGTGTTCCCGTCAGACACAGTTAATATACTTCACCAGATGCATCTACACAAATGTCATTAACATATAAAAGACCGTTCAGCTGTTTGAACAAGCATGTATACCATATATGTTCCCGTGTTTTTTTATAGAACAATTGATTTGCCTTTGCATGTGTTTGTGATGGGTGCCATCGGTGGGGCAGGGTAGGCGCACCTTTTTGCGAACACCTGGTATCATCACTATTTGTTAATGATTCAGAAACACACGCTCATGATATAGCGAATCGTACAATCGACTGTTTTTGGCAGTGATTTTTTATGAACATGGAAAGGGTTTGGTCGCTGTTATTTACGTAGCGTTATGTATTGTAATCTCCCGAAAAGACAAACGTTGACAGAATAACGTTATCGCTGTCATTCTATGTTAACAATTGTCTGAAATGGCAGGTCTATTGTTTCACTAACACACAGACCCCTAAATACTATGTATGAGGTCAAACAATTTACATTCCATATAGGAACCTTCGAGTATTGAGAAACCCTTCTACCTAGAGTGAGTGAGTGAGTTGGGTTTAACGCCGCTTTTAACAGTATTCCAGTTATATCGCGGCGTCTCAGCTTAATGTGGGAGGAAAGCCCGAAGTGATGCAGGTCTCAGACGTTTACCACTTCGGTGAAACCCACGAGCACGGGTATGGTGCTGACAAACCTAGAAACATAATCGGGGCGAACCGGGATTCGAACCCACAATCATAGTTTCTGGCGTGATTGTGTTATTGGTAATAAACGAACCTTTTTCAAAACGATGTTACAGAAGGGATTATTAAAAAATTGTCCCTCCATATCAACAGTTCATCTGAAGCTAAGAGCAAAAACAGATGTTAAAGAGACAAGGCTGATGGCTTGGCTCTTCATCTCCTCACACCTTTATCCCTGGGAGAGATCCTGATTAGAAAGCTATCTCCAGTAGCATCGCTTCTCTTAATTTGGCTTAGTTAACACGCGAATTGCTTGCCTGGACTTTCGGTGTGCAGCTGTACAATTACTGTGCAAATGACGCTATCGCTGTAACCCATCGGTCAATGCTACCTTCAACACAACAGGAGACGCTCAATGGTTTAATTACGCTCAGGGCACTGGGCGTGAATACAGACAATGGTTTCCTGGTAGTAGAAATATGCGTGGAGAATGAAGCTGTGAGTCATAGCAAGTCAGTGTAAATAATGGTACAGCCATTTACATACACCGTTTTATGTGACAGCGTGTCAGGGCTGGCTGGCTGGCTGGCTGTGTCTCCTCACGTTGTGACTGGTCTATGGGGAAGCGAACCCTGATGCTTAGCATGATGAGTGAGTGAGTGAGTATGGTTTTACGCCGCTTTTAGTAAAATTCCCGCAATATCACGGCGGGGGACACCACAAATGGGCTTCACACATTGTACCCATGACGGGAATCGAACCCGGGTCTTCGGCGTGACGAGCGAACGCTTTAACCACTAGGCTACCCGACCGCCCCTGCATGATGAGTAAACACACGTTCCTCTTGGCGATACTCACATGATAACGAATAATATACCAGCGCGCCAATTGATTAGTCCTATACCCCATTTAATATATGTTATGAAACAGAAGACGCTTGGTATCCCATCAAACGGAAACACCACTTGAATTTGTTATCGGTTTGAAAAGGTTTATCAGATTGATGCGCAAATCTACCACCACCCCATCATGGTTGCCATGGTATCCAATTACCTAAAATTAGCATCTCTCATGCACATAATATCCGTGATAAGCGCAATTATCTACAGCAAACTCGCCCTGACATGCACGCACTTGGCAAAGTGTAAACACATTCTTTCCTAAAAGTGCTTCATTTTCATGACATAAAGAGACAATACATACATGTTTTTTTCATTTTTAAGATTCAACATTAAACATAAATGATGAAGCATTATCTACGTCATTTCCTTTGAACCGTGAAGATCCGTATGAATTGTCTTCAGCATCCGATGCTTGTCGTAAAAGGCGACTATGCTTGTCGAAAAAGGCGACTAACGGAATCGGGTGGTCAGGCTCGGTGACTTGGTTGATGCTTTGTTTGTTGTTTAACGCCGCACTCAGCAATATTCAAGCTATATGACGGCGGTGTGTAAATAATCGAGTCGGGACCAGACAATCCAGTAATTGATGTCAAAAGCATGGATTCACGCAACTGGGATACGATGACATGCATCAACCAAGTCAGCGAGCCTGACCACCCGATCCCATTAGTCGCCTCATACAACAAGAATGGGTTGCTGAAGACCCATCCTAACCCGGATCTTCACGGGCACTGGTTGATAAATGTCATCATATCCCAATTCCATAAATTGATTATTTACAGACCGGCGTCATATAGTTGGAATATAGCTGGACAAACTATTTCATTTGAAATCTGGCCTCTGTGTTGAATTTCCCTTTGTAATATTCATATGTACATACAACATCAAGTAAACACACGCCATATGCAATGGTCCATGGGCAGAACAACCATTGTGGTAAATTAACCCTTGAGAATTTCGGGAGCCGGAAGCTTGAAATGATTAAAGTGGACCACTAATATTTGCATAAAATTGCCATGCTATTGCAATTTCTTCCTTGGGTGATGGATCGATCCAAATCGATCATATAGCACCTGTTATCTTGTGCTCTCATTACTCAGAAAAAAACACCTGTTTAGAAATAAAACGTGATAGAAATATCACGTGATCAGTCATACTAGCCATGAAAAATAATATATCCAGTTTAGCATTAAAAAAAAAAAATCTTAGTCGAACAACAAAGCAACAACTGCGGCTATAAGGTTAGATATCTCGAATACACCTAACACTTTCTGAGTCATCAGTTTCTCCGTTTGAAACTGTAGATTCTCCGTTTGAAACTGTAGAAGGGAATGTTATGAAACGAGTTACCATCTGATATTAATTTAATAAAAAATATCAAATTAAAGTCTGTAATATTAAGTAGTGCATTTCGAGTGTATTTCTCTACAAAATATACATCAAACATATTTCATACTGCGATTAACGAAAGTTGATTTCATGCACCACAGGTAATTTTTTTAATATTATAAATGCAAAACCAGATATCCTTGATTTATTCGACTGTCAGAAGACTGCCAATGTTTGTAAACCTCAGAGAATCTTATTGAGAAGATCGATGTCTCTATTAACAGGCAAATTAGAAAATCTGAGTGATCGATTCCTTCTGGAACTGACTGTTGCCCCTGGACACCAGAGAACTTGACAGAGATTGAATTCAAGATGAAATATATGACACAAGCTTTAAGGTGAGTGGGTTCCATGTCTTGTTAAGACACATACATTTCCATTGGAAGATTGTTTGAATGAGTTATGAGTATGACGGGAACACATTGAATCCTTACTTGATACGTAACATAATGAAAATGCTCTAGCTGGCGGTGATAGAGTGCGTAGATTACTTCCTGATTATTGTACATTTCATCATTGATTGAAATGTCCATAAAGGTTAAAGGTTGTCAGTTTCATTATCGGTAATATTTGCCTTTTTTCTTTCTTACAAAGACAGCATAAGCTCGTTGTAACAGAACACCGTAAAGGGGAAGATATTAAGCAACCGTTCTGAAGTACTTATCAGTCATTTTCCCAACATTTATTCTCACTATTTCAATTAAATTCTTTTTAAGGGCCCTCTTTGTAACGTAAAGCATGCATCTACCCGTTCTTGGTTTATTAAAAGCGGTCAATAAGTGAGACCGGCGTGTGTGAGTGAGTGAGTTTGGTTTAACGTCGCTTTGAACAGTATTAGTTACATCACGGCGTGTCTGCTTTTCGTTGGGGGAAAGCCCGAAGTGATGCAGGTCCATATTTTTCCACCTGGGTGAAACAACCGAGCATGGTGTGGTGCTGACAAACCTAAAATCATAATCTAAGACCTTCATCACTTTCGTGAAACACACGATTTCCGGTATGGTGCTGACAAACCAAGAAACATGATCAGGGCGATTCGGGGATTCCAGCCCATGTTAATAGGTTTCTGCCACGCATAAGGGACGCAACTCTGTACAGACAGGGTCCAAATCAACTCATTCACTCATATCGGCCACCACACACTGTAGTATTGATAAAGTCCGTTTTTCAAGCAACAACACGTGTTTCTTCTCTCTAAAAAGAGACACTGTCTAACATAGGCTGTCTAACGTGGTTACCAAAAAATATACTAATTAGGCGAGCTTTAAAAAAAAACGTCATCAGACCTTTAACGTGCGCCGTCTTCACTGCAGAGATGGTATTAGCGATGCTGCCTTTAACGTACATTCACAGATCAATGCTGGCAATGGAATCATTCAAAAATAACGCTCAAAGCCTGAAGGTAAACGTTTCTGGTAAAAATAATTAGCCGCATAATTTCATGGAATATTGATTATACACTAGGTCGACCGAAAGTCATACCACAAACACCATATCATTGCTAGCAGAAACTGCCCTTTTCATAACCCCTTTCCAGAATGCAGTAATTAAAGAGTGCAACTGGAGTACCCCTGGGCGGTATATTACCCCTATTCTTATTTTCATCGGAGACGACCACAACCGATATGTATGCCTGGTCCTTGTCAAGCATGCGTGCCCTGCAGTGGACACTGTCCAGAGGACGAGGTGACCGCTCATTAATATCATTGCACCCAAGGGACGC